CTGCAGAAGCTTCCACATAATACATAAAATGTTGCAACAGCTTGAAAAGTCGCGACTCTTGATAGAAAAATGAAAACAGCTCTGAATGGACACATTTGACAATCGGCCTCTCCAAAGCTGCAGTTCAGGAACGACCTGGTGCAAACCCGACACATGTTCAGAGCATACACAAAAACCCCTTCATGGTTTAGAGGTTCAGGGTCTTACAACAATAGTGCATCACCCACAGACACAAACCCTGGCAGCTGAGTGCTGCTTGTTAAATGTACCTTGTTTCTGAAATAAACTTCGATGGGCAAGATGAAGCCTGCGTATCCAGATTCCTCCACTTTGTACGGTGGATCCTTGCACACTGAAAGAGAAAACTGCTGTTAGACTTCAGCACCAGGAGGCTGACAGTTCACAAAGCTTGCTTTAAATTCATGCAGTTACATGAAATGCAGAGCAGCGCTGAGTGTGCTGCAGCCATCTGGTTGGGTTGCTGGGAGACGGCCGCTCTGACAAACACAAAAAACCCAACCATTACATAAATCACATCCCCTCCACACCTGAACCAGGTGACAGGACTGTATTAAGACTGTTGCTTCATTTCTTGTGTCATTAAACACACTAATCCTGCAGCTGTGTTCTCATGAGACCTCATTAACTCAATTTCTGCAGCCTACTCTGATGCATCGATACAGAGCGCGGGCGTCCATTAGAGCCAAAGCCTTAAACACACACGACAAGGCCAAGACGTCCACGCATGCTCGTAGAGGAGCACACGGATCACACGGATCCCTCCTGAGTCACAAAATGTACCAATGCAGGAAATGTAGTAATTAAGTTACGTGTGCTTGTTGAACAAAGGAAGCTTTGCTTAATTCTCAAATATTGTCCGTTTGACACATGACAGCATGCAGCTACGATGGTGATGCGTGTGAATGTGTAGAAGTGCTGTACGGATGGATGAGAGTAGAGACGGACGACATCTTTCTCACATCGTCCCTCTGCTGCCTCCAACATCTTCGGTCCTGAAAATCACATCTGTTCAACTCATGAGGAAAGATGTGAAAGCCAGGCTGGGTTTTCTTTCCTTCTTTTCTAATTTCTTATTTAAATGTTTAAAATTATTGTTGTTAATAAGTTACAAACTATTTTACTTACTGGTCACGGATCTAATCCAGTAGTCTAGAACTATATCTGTCCATGTATTCATACTATGACAGCAGTGGCACCTCTCAGTGTCCTTGTATACACAGCTATGTGCTCAGGTTTCAGTGGTTTAGGTTGAAAAGCAGCCATGACCTGATGGAGCACATAATGGTTGTTGTGAAACGTTAGCTTCATGCTTTTCAGGATTTTTTTTGCTTCCACACTTTTACATCTGCAGCTGTTTGACAAAATTAAATGTCACAGCCTTTGTTACCCTCAAAGTGAACCAGGATGCTTATTTTAGGACAGATGTGTCAGAGACACTAGGCTTGTAACAATACTACAGTTTCAGTTTTAATACCAATACCCAGAAAAGTAGCATGGTGAAGAGTATAACTGCATCCTACACCAACAGAAGTAATGGTGAAGACTTTATCTTGAAAATGTCAAGTTGTTACCGTTCAACTAATTCTTCAAATATAAAGTTGATTTAAATAAAATCAATCGTGGTGGCCTGCAGCACTCCCCCTCAGCCAAAGACACGGATTTAAAAATCAGAGCTGATTTTCAGAGATGTTGTCCTCCGACCACGAGGTCAGCGGGATGCAAACTCATCTGAGATTTTCAGCAGATACACCTCTGGTATCAAGTTGGAAACCTTAGGTGACCTCCTCCTTGAGTTATCACATTCACAAGACTTTACAAATCCTTGATCCCCGACCTTGACGCTGAGATCTTTAGAAGAGCACCTATGGCATGAACTTCCCAACCCTACATCCCCTCATTCTTGATGCATCACATCTGGACAAAGTGTGGTATTAGCTGTGTTGAAATGAAGAAGACAGAAAGCAGAGTGCTTACTGTGAACGCTCACACTGCTCACTGCCTGGATTTCCAGACTGATCTTTCAGGCAGCTCTTTACATCCTGGTAATAGTTAAACAGCAATGCTGACATGGTCTCCTGCCAGGTTAATATTTATGATAATTACTTAATACTTTAATACTAGTGAAATGCAAGCTTCACTGATCTCTGGAGATGCCTCTGAAAGGACTGTTTGGTGTTACAGACAGCTGTTAGCTGCATGTCTGACTTACTGCAGCAGTGCCGTGTGAAAACAGCATTGTTTGTATTGATGTTCTTGCAAATATGTACCATTGGAGTCAGTGATTAACATCTGAGTGCCTATTTTTTGACAGCCCTAATAGAGACATTGCTTATGTTTGGAGAACGCAGGGACTGATGTAGACCCCAAAAACACGTCCCCACAGTGAAACGAGGGCGTGGGAGTATTAGGCTGTGGGTATGCTTCAGTCCATCTGGAACTGGAAGTCTTGTCAAGGTGGAAGGAATTATCAAGAAAGACACATATGTGATAGTTTGGAAAGAAAAGATCAAGCAGCCAAACCTGGATCTAAGTAATCGCTTTGTCACATTTTCCTTTGTCTGAAAAACGCCTGCGTCTCATCTGTTTGTGGGTTTATATTGGTAGTAATGTAGGACCCTTACATTCATACATCCCTGTAAAGAGGCACTTTGACGTTCAATCACTGTTGCTCTACTAGAGACAGGAACAGTTTTAATAGCACTAAGTACTGACTAAGCCAATCTCAAAGAGCAAGGACCGACCAAAGCTGCACATTAGCATGAAGCTATGGTCCAGCAGGCAACAGTTGCTACAAAAAGCTGAGCAAAAGCATTCTTCTTATGTCATGGTGAATCTGATTAGTGCTTATTTATGCACAGACAACACTAATTCATCATGATATTCACCGCAGGTGATGAAGAGTGTCTGTGGTTGACTGAGCAGAGCACCCAACAACAACCCTGCACTCCTCCACCCTACACGACCTCTCCTGACTCTACATCACACTAATCAGGTAACAGCAAGACCCTTC